ATATGTGAAAGACAGATGAACAGATAATCAGAATCAGATAATCCTTATAGACAAGGTAGAGGTGGTTTGGTTACCTAGGACCTGGCCATTATGATCCCAGTTTCTCTGAGACTGAGTCTGAGGCAGTGAACCATCTACTGAATGCTTTCACCATGTATGGAAATTGAGGTGGGAGGGCTCCAGGCTACCTCAGCTTATTAAGACTGGGAGGCCCTTCCCAGAGAGAAAGGAAAGTGAGAAGTTAGCAGATATGGCTACCTGTTGTTCCCAAGAAAGGAAAGTTTCTCTGTACAGAACTTTCTGCTCACAGTTTAAAGTATAGCTTCATTTTTCATTTTAACAGAAGAGATGTTTATAACACATGATAAAGCCCAACAAAAACAAGAACATAAAAAAACCCTTTCATATTAGTAGGCCTAAAAACACAAGATTCTATGAAGGTTACAATAAAATTGGATAAATATACATACACTTGGTATGGGAATGACCTGCCTCTGGTCACCCTGAGGAAAAAGAAAAGAAGTCATTGTCAGGTTTGAAGAGAAAGAGAGCATATTCTCAGAAGAAACTTCCAAGCATCCTTGTGCACAGCAATCAAATGACTTCCCATCTCTGTACTTGGTGGTGTTTAATGAGCAGTAGGAACCTAAGGACCCTCCATAGTTAGGGCACCAGCTCCATGCTACCTCCCACCCTTCTTCTTCATAGGCAGGTTGGGCTCCTTAAGCTCACCAGTCTTCTTGTTCATTTAAATAGTGCCTCTCTTACTCCCAGGAATTGAACTAATTTAAGAATAAAAATGGAAGTTCATACTTTACTTTGATCCTTGATACTCCCAATAGCTGATTTGTTTCTTCCTTTAAGCAAGTTTTCCCCTAAAAGGACCAAGTCAACATAACCAGATTACAGTGACTGCTTGTTCACTCTGGGTCCTTTTTTAAGGAAAGAATGGGAGACAGGGGACAGGGCAAGGTATAAGGAATTCCCTCTCAGGGCAAAGACATGACTGGTTATCTCCTTTGAGGGAAACAGAGCCTGTATTCATTGGTAGCATTAAAAAGTTCAGGCCCCACGAATGGGTCTCAACTATTTCTCAGCCCTAAATACCAGCCATTCCAAACCTGGCTGGCATAAACCATTCATTTTGGCAGTAATAAATGCTAATAAAAGAATGAATTTATTTCCACTAAGCATTTCCACTTTCTTTATTTCTTTTTTATTCAGATGGCCTGATAGGGAGTATTACTTCATGTCTTGACATTTTGTGAAAAGATGTGTTCGTTGTCACTGAGGGGTCATCAGTGTCAGGGCTTCATGAAAAGGCCAAGTATGATGACTGGCAATGGCAGATGGACAGCATTTCCGAGCTCTGCTCTGACTTCTTTGAGGCAGTCAACTTCCTGGTAATCTTCAGCCCTTAGCCACAGCAACAGCAATCCTTGTTTCCTCCTGAGATGACCTTGATGGCTTGTTCCTTTGCCAGGAGACTTGGAGTCTGTCTTAGGGCAAGTATGTTGTTTTCCAATGTGATAGCATACTCTAATCAGAGCCTGGTTTTCAAGAACTTGTGCAGAAGTCCATTTCAGTAGCTCCCAAAGAATCATATTCCCAACATTTGGATGCAAAAGCAGGTTCTGCCTTTGGGGGGAAGATTTTAACCAGATGCTCCCAAATCCATTGGACCACTTTAGAGCAGGGTTTCCTCCCTGTACTTGGCTATATTGTTGATTATATATAAAGGTTGATTGGCTATTACATACTTCATGTATTAGAACTTTTATTATTGTAAAATTTTCCTTTACTGTGTTGAATGCTTTCGACCTTGAATTCTACTTGGTCTGGTATTACTTTAGTATTAAAATTCCTGCTTTCTTTCTGCTTAATGTGTCTTACACATTTTGCCTATCTCTTTATTTTCTACTTTCCTTATGGTATGTTAGAGATCATGTTGGAAACAGACATTGACCAAATAATTCCAGCTTTCCTTGTAGGTACATAGTAGGATTATACTTCTGTTCCTTTGATGTTAGGTATATCCATGTGACTTGCTCTGGCCAATAAGATAAATTGAAAGGAGGCACGTTACTTCTAAGTGAAAACATTAAGAGCTTCTGCTATGACAATCAAGGAAACAGAGCTATGGGGCTCTCCTTAGTTTAGGTCCATGAATAAGAGTTAAGAATTATGCTGTGCAATATAGTACTATAGATACTGAGCACATGAAATGTGGCTAGTTGAAATTCAGATGTGCTATAAATATAAAAAACACATCCAATTTATCTAATGAACTAATTGGATAAAAATAATGGAAATTATTTCATTGATAATTTTTCTATTGATTAAATGCTAAAGTAATATTTTAGACATATTGAGTTAAGTGAGATATATTATTAAAAATTAATTTTACCTTTTTGTGCAGTATTGGGGATTTAACTCAGGGCCTCACAATTGGTAGGCAAGTGTTCCACCACTTGAGCCATGCCTTCAGTCCTTTTTGCTTTTGATTTTTCAGTCCTTTTTTCACTTGGTTTTTAAAAACATAGCTAGCAGAATAATTTAAATTATGTTTGTGACTCACATTTTATTTCTGTTGGGTAGTGCCACAGAAGGCTCAGTCAACCTATGACAAATAAGTAGCATGAAGGAAAAATAAACCTGTATTGTTTTAAGCCTCTTAGGATTTGAGGTTGTTACTGAAGCATAACTAAACACACACTGACTCATTAGTCATTCCTCTTTCCTTTGTGAAAGAGCTCTGATTTTGTTAAGGGCAGGAATATGTGGTGCTTAATTCTTCCCTTTCAGGCTGTCCTTGTTGCCACTGGGTGACAAAGTTTTGGCAAGGTCTCCTGGGATTTCTGTAAAAGCACTGACTTTCCTTAAATAGGAAAGTTTAAGTTAAAGGGTAGCTAGTGCCATCCCTCCCCCTCTGCTTCCCATGAGTGCAGACCTGATGACTTTGCCAGAATATATAACAAGCATGAGGATGAAGGCAAATGCATCAAGAACGGCAGAGCAGAGGGATGCCAAGATGGAAGAACAGTAAGTCTGGGTTCCTGATGGCATCATGGGGTATGTAAACTAACCCCAGCACCTGCCTGACTCAGGGTTTCTGTGTGAGAAAAACAATCCCCTATTTGTTTAAGCTATTGTTTGCCAGTTTTGTTTTACTTGCTGCCAAAATCATTCTTATCTGATGACAGATATATTCTTTTTAAATTTAGTTTATTTTTTATTGTTGTGCTGGGCAGGCGTACATTGAGGCACTTACATAGGTTCTTACAATGTATCAAATATACTTGAATTCACCCCCTCCACCATTCTCCTTTATCCTCCCTCCCTCCATTCCTGGGATAGTTTCAGCAGCTATCATTTTTCCATTTACATTCATGTGTACACAGTATTTGTACCATATTCACCCTCTCACACTCTTTCCCCACCTCCTCCCCCCTCACACTGGTATCAACATCCCTAGGCAGGAGACAGGTGTATTCTTGGAAACAGCATACAGATAGATAAATTTGTCAAATCAATGTGATATAGTCTTGGTCATTTGTTAGCAGAATCTGGTTCATTAAACTTGGTTTTATGTCTATTCTTTTCTTTCTTTTTTTTTTTTAGGTTAACATTCCTTTTTTTTTCTTTTATTATTTATATGTGCATACAAGGCTTGGGTCATTTCTCCCCCCTGCCCCCACCCTCTCCCTTACCACCCACTCCGCCCCCTCCCTCTTCCCCCACCCCCTCAATACCCAGCAGAAACTATTTTGTCCTTATTTCTAATTTTGTTTTAGAGAGAGTATAAGCAATAACTATTCTTTTCTTCTGGTGATATTGGGGTTTAAAATAAGGGCTTTGCACTTCTGAGTCAGGCGCTCTACCGCTTGAGCCAGACCTTCAGTCCTTATGCCTATTTTTTATATTATGCTTACTATTTATCTGCTATTTATTTTTTCATTTCCATAATTCTGACAGTGTTTAGATTTGTTTATTTTTCCTTTCTCCTGTCAATTTTGAGCACCTATTTTCCAATTGTGCTACTTTTTATCTTATTCCTTCATTCTTTATAATTTTATCTTAACTGAGTTTCAATTTCAGTCAGGTTTTTATTTTTTGGCTCCTTCTCTGAATCATTACATGTCTGAAAATGTACTTCTTTTGCCTCAGTAGATGAAGCTAGCTTAGTCATAAATGGAACTTTTGCTTTGTAATTTTTTTCTCTCAGTAGCCTATAAACACTTTTCATGGTCTTCTATCTTTTAGTATTGCTGATGAGAAGTCTAAAACAATGGCTTTCTTGGAAAAAATTTGTTCCCTTAGCTTGCAAGATTTTCTCATTATTCTTACCTTTCAAAATTTCAACAGGATCTATTTAGGAATGTGCCCTGTTCCCGCCTCCCCAATCCTACTGCATAATTGGTGAGCTCTTTCAATCTGCAGATGAGAACTGTGCTCAAGAAAAATTTCTGCTATTACTTTATCTCCTTCTGAAATTCCTACTATTTGCATGTTTGGTCTCCTAGATGCCTCTTTCTCCTCCCTCACAATTTCCACCTTTGTGTTTCTGGTATGAAGGCTAAGATATTTCTTCCACTTGCTTTTCTAGAACGTTAATTCAGTTCTGAGAAGTGACTAATGTCATTCTCTTTTTTCTTGTTTGTTTACTGAGTTTTTATATTTAGAACCACGAGTTTTTTAAGTTCTACAAGTTACTTTTGTTCCAAAATGGATGTCCTGAGTTGCCTGCTGAAGCTCTCTTCTATCTCTTGCACCATTTCTCCCCAGAGGAATCTCAGATTACAGTCTTTCAACTTTTTCAGCCGAGGCTACATATTTCCTTGCTTGTGCAAGGCTGCGTGTTCCATTAGTTCTGTACAGTTTGGTCCATCAGGATTTCTGGGAAATGGGAAATGAGGAAGCACTGCAAAGAGTGCCACTTTCAAGGACTAGCAGAGGCCAAGTGGACAAACCATAAAGAGATGAAGAAAACACTGGATTACCGACTTCTCCAGGATATAGGAAATGAAGTTGTCCAGCTTAGCAGTGCAGTCTCTTCTGGGCTCACATGCAGCAAGTGGGCAGTGCCAGCCCTTTCCAAGGGGATCCACAGGCTCTTGGTGGTGGTTGGCCTCATGGGGTTATATACTTCCAAGTCTCTGCCCTAGGACCTGGGATAGGCAAGCATTTTCCTCAACTGTGATTCCTGGCTCCTCACTGAATGTCAGAAATAAATCCTGAACCTACTCTCCCCTAGGATGTCAGGAAATCCAGGAGTCTTAATGTACTTCCCAGGATCTACTAGCAAGCCCACCTTGCTTATCCAGGCAGGGAATCTGGTTTTTAAATTTTTTATTGCTTTTTTAAAAATAGGTTTCGTTACAACACTTTCATACTGGATACTGGAGGGGAATTATAACGGTCATTAAATTTAATTTTAATGGTCATGTGCTCAGACTGTCCTTCCAGAATTCCCTTCCTCACATTTTGATGTGCTTTTAAAATAAATTTATTTTTTAATCATGAGAGTAATTTAAACTTATTTTATGAAAATTTGTGGGAGGGATATAGAAGAAAGGAGAAAATCCTATATATAGTCTTACCTCTTCATGTCTGGCATATGTTCTAGTCTTATAAATGCTTATGGGTGAGAGAGTAAGAGAGGGATTACATGTATACTTGTGAATATACTCACTTCTTATATTTTAGCCTGCTTTTTACTATATGTGAATATTTCTTTATGTCAGTAGTGTTTATGCCATATCATTCTTTTGGATATGCCATTTTTAATGGCTATATTCCATTTGATTCTATGCTTATTCTGCAGTTCTTTTAGCCAACTGCCTGTTGTTGGATGCCTACGTTGGATGGTATTTTATGATTAAATCTTTGTACATTGAGAATTATAAATTTCACTAGAAAGTGGAAATTTTGTCAACAAATAGGTATTTTTAAGGATTTTAAAATCATATTGCCAAATATTCCTCCAGAAAGGTGTAATCAATGAACACTATCACCAATAACCACTTCTACCTTCCCTGCCACCATCCTATGCCAAACCCAAATATTATCTCTAAAAACTTGATAGAAAAGGGTGTCTCACTGTTTTAGCTTGCATTTGTTTAATTACAAAGCACGTGTTTTTAATTTTTCATGTTTTGATATTTTTCATATTTGACCAACTACATTAGTTTTTAGTAGTTATTTTTCAGGTAGAATCTCACTTTTTTTCTTGGCCTGGGCCGTAATCCTTCTACTTATACTTCCCAAATAGACGGGATCATAGGCTTGAGCCATTACGCTTGGTCGACCAACTATGTTTCTTATTTTGTGAATTGTGTTTATGAGCTTTATGTTATGCAATTTGGGGCATAAAGTTTTATGACTTTTGTGTCCTCAGTCTTAGGTATCTTCATAATGAGTATTATGAAAATATCCTTTACCTTTTTCAGTGATTTTTACATGAAATTCTATTTGGACTGAGGTGAATATTGCTTGTTCTTAGATGATACTTCTTTGCTTATTCTTTTACCAGCAAGTGTTCTGAGTCACTGCTTTTTATACATATATTTGCAGTGCTGGGTATTGAACCCAGGGCCTTACATGTGCTATGCAAGCTACACCCCCAGCTCTCCAACTATTTTTGTTGTTGTTTTTGTTACAAACAAAAGAACATAGAGGGCTGGTGGAGTGGCTCAAATGGTAGGACATCTGCATACCAAGCATGAGGCCCTGAGTTCAAACTCTCGTACTGGCAAAAAAAAATTACATAAAATAAAATAGAAAATTCAAAAGAACATAGAATGGATAGTTTGTTATAAATAAGGTAGTTAAACTCAACTATACTTATTGTTAGCTTTTCTTCATTTCTCTCTCTCTCTTCTCTGTGTCTATTACTAGTTCTTTAACTCCCTATTCTACAAATTCAATTTTCAAAAAATTATAAAAATGTAAAGTGACTCTTACAACTCTCATCATTCTTGTTCTTGTTAACTAGGAATCCCTGAGATATCTTTTATCAAAAAAGATTACATTTTTTTGGCAGTTCAAATCTTTAATAACTGCACACATACTGTCACATTTCTTACTAGGGCTATTTGTCAAGGTGGGGACAGATTTGCTGCCTGCAGTTGTACTGAGCATACAGGTCCCCATCAGCACTGACCTTCTGAAGTCCACCATTCTCCTCCACCAGTGGTGGAAGCACACTGGGGTTGTGCGTAGGGGCCTCCACATTGTAATCACGGAAGCAGCAGAAGAATGAGCTGAGGATGCTGCGGCTCCTCTGCTTCTTTAAGCTGACATTACACTGGGAAGCTGGAAAGAGAAACAGAGTATATTATGACCACGGGAGGAGGCCCTGATGCAATGTGAATATTGGAATGTGCAGTTAAGGTCCCTGTGACCTTAGTCTGTTGGGAGCTGATGGCTCAATAACTATACTAGCCTCAGGGTCATCACCATCTACATTCCTAAACCCAGTAGATGAAGTATTTCCACAATGGACAAAGCACCACTTCAGGCAAATGTCCTTTTAGGCATTAATAAGATTTGACACCCTCTGTGAAGTACTCTCCATTATAAGTACCAAGAAAGATGCACTTTGAAACTAGGTTCTTAGATACTCTCTGCTCACTATGAAAATGATCAACTTGGTGGGTTAAGACATAAAATATGTAAGGGCATTTGTCAGAGGTTGATGGGGGCCTGGACCCACCAAGCACAGGGCTGAAGGCTTCCATTACACTTCAAACAGAGACAGCAGGAGATGTGGCATGGAGAATGTGTGCTTTGGCTGAGCAGGGCAAGGCTCGTCTTCACGAGTTCCAGGGCAATACTGTGCCCTGGCCTGTCCTGGATTAAGCACCAGAGGGAGTGATGGATTCTTTCTGTTTATCCAGGGATCAAGACAAGCTGCTACAAGTCAGAAATAAAAGACAAAAACTGGCACAGATTGAAAACACACCTCAAGGCAGAAGACTGACAACTTGGAGGGGCAGGAATATTTTGCCTGGGAATGCAGCTGGGTTGTCCCATCACACATACCATGGCTGGGTGGGTCAGCAGTGCTTTGGGCAGAGGCCACAGGCAAGGGACCATGCTGAGGGTTAATGGAAAAATTGACAGTGTAGGAAATTATTGAAGTCCACATGATATATGGTGGAGCTTCTTTCTCCCCCAAGCACAATTCTGGTACAATTCTTTTTGTGCACTTAAGAGTGATTTGTGTAGCACCTTTCCTCTCAAGAGATCACAAACTATTTGCGAAAAGTTTAGGGGTACTTATTCTTCTGCTAGCAGTAAAACCAAATGCATTCAGATGAGAATTCTGAAAAGGTGTCTTCTGAGCAACTCTACAGACACGGATGGCCCCTAGCCTGGGTTTGGACAAAGGGCCCAGTAAGTACGAATTGAAGATCTCACTCTCTATAGATGAGCTTTAGTAGAACCATAAATCCTTAGGAAAGCTGGCAGTTTTGGTCTTCCTCATGAATCCTTGGGTGCAAGTCACAGAGCACTGATGGTCTCATTTCAGGCCCCAAACACTGTGCCAGGCAACTAGGCCATCAGGCCTGGAGGCTTCCAAGCATCAGTGAGTGGTGAGAGGAAATAAAGATCACTGTTGACTGAGGGTCAACCCTATAGGTACCACTACTTGAGCCTAATCTCAAGTAATTCTCAGAGACCCAAGGAGATGGGGTCATTGCTTCCACGTCACTACTGAAAAGACACAGTTAGTAGTTGCTAGTGCGAGGATCTGAACCCCAAGTGGGCCTGCTTCCTAAATGTGTGATTTCCCGGTATACCACACAATTGTTTCAAGGAAATCTTGAAATAATTTAGGTCTGATTAAGAGGGAGGGGGCATGTCAAATAGAAAGCTTTGCAATAAATTTGTACTTAATATAAATGATTGGTTAAACTATTTCATTGTAATTTTGGGTGCTTTAATTTTTACGCCACACTCAAATAATTTAGCCAGAAGCAGAAAAAAAATAACTCTTCCATGGCTGACAGCACATTTCTCTGTAAGTAAACAAACTGTTCATGTCTTAGAGACACTGAAAAACTCTGAAAAAAGCATCTTCCAAGAGTCTATTTTTTTCATCTTTGGATCATATGAATCTTCTTCACAACTAACTAATTAACAAGCTAACTCATATACTAAAGAAAAAAAAATTCCAAACTTGGAACCAGTAAGCTATTTCTAACTTTTACCATGTGACTATATAGAAGGTATGAACAGAGCTGTGGGATTCAGTGAATTAAAGTGGCGTAGAATGGAATTTTATGCAGCCATGAAGAAGAATGAAATGTTATCATTCGCTGGTAAATGGATGGAATTGGAGAACATCATTCTGAGTGAGGTTAGCCTGGCCCAAAAGACCAAAAATCATATGTTCTCCCTCATATGTGGACATTAGATCAAAGGCAAACACAACAATGGGACTGGACTTTGAGCACATGATGAAAGTGAGAGCACACAAGGGAGGGGTGAGGATAGGTAAGACACCTAAAAAATTAGCTAGCATTTGTTGCCCTTAACGCAGAGAAACTAAAGCAGATACCTTAAAAGCAACTGAGGCCAATAGGTAAAGGGGACCAGGAACTACAGAAAAAGTTAGATCAAAAAGAATTAACCTAGAAGGTAACACACACGCACAGGAAATTAATGTGAGTCAACTCCCTGTAGCAAAAACCCTAGTTCCTTCCTACTATTGCTTATACTTTCTCTTCAACAAAATTAGAAATAAGGGCAAAATAGTTTCTGCCGGGTATTGAGGGGGTGGAGGGCCGAGGGAGGGGGTGGAGTGGGTGGTAACGGAGGGGGTGGGGGCAGGGGGGAGAAATGACCCAAGCATTGTATGCACATATGAATAAAACAATAAATAAAAAAAATAATAAAGTGGCGTGGGAGGCCATTATGCCCTGACAGGGAAATGGCAGCCGACCCACACTCTCCCTTCTTTGTGTAAAGAGACGCTGCAGTGGTCGCCCTTCTTGTTAAATGAGGTCCGTTCTCAGGTCTTCAGAATAACCTCCAGGAGGCTGTGCCTATCTGAATTTCTAATTTGGGCTGATTGGCCATTCTCAACCTCAGACTAATTGGGAAATGGGAGAATTTTCTCAGGACCAGTCTTTCATCTTACTTCTCCCCTATTTATAATCCAGGAGGGCCTTGATTTGCTCATAAACTGGTAAAAGAGTTTTGGATGAGGCCAGGCATCGTGACACAGACCTGTAACCCCAGCTACATGGGAGATATAAGTAGGAGGATCATGATCTGAGGCCAGTGCCAGGTGAAAACTCAAGACCCTATCTGATAAATAACTGAATCAAAAAACAGTGTATGTAGGGGGATGGCTCAAGTTGGTAGAGAGCTTGTTTAACAACCCTGAATTCAAACTCCAGTACTGTCCCCCTCCCCAAAGAAACTAAAATTGATAGTTTAATGGACAAATGGTTACAACATTAACTCAAAAATGCTAACTATATA